GATGAGTGTGGAGATCTGCGAGAGGATGTGAAGGATGATCTCCACCAAAAGATCTTTGCGGGGAAAATGCAACTTTCGACTTAGGGATTTCGTGGTCAGGAACGTCATCTCACTGCCGTGTGTAGTTTGTACTTGCTGACTGCAGAGGAGCCGCGCATCTACAATGCACCGGAGATTCGAGAAATCTGTCACAAGATTGCGGGGATATTCTCTCAAACTAACCACACAACAGTGGCGGCACGGGAGCTGCCACGAGATGGACCGGAGGGACGTGTACAGGGGTAGTTCTGGGAATTGAGCTTGCGCGGACTGTATCGATCGCTGATAGGACCGTCTCTTTCATTTACTCATATGAATGCAATCATCCCTCCCCCCACGACAACCGAGTAGTCCTTCTGACAAGTCTGCCCGCTAAACGTACAACCGACTTGGAAGTCGTAGTGGTGAATCTTGATGAAGCAAGTTCTCCGACAAAAGCCGCGCGTGGTTGCTCACGCGCGTCTTGATGTTTTCTGACGCAACCGAGCGGACCTTGCAGAAACGCTGTGGAAAAGAATGATAGATGAGCCATCGCTGCAGTGCTGCGGCATGTGAATAAAGCCCGAGCAACCTTCTAATACATTGCGGTGACGAAACACTGGTTCATGGGCCCGCTTCCGTACAGTCTCGACACCATGCGCGCATCGAATATATGAATGATATCCCCGGGCAACGGTTCCGAGGCCTGCCCCACACGTGGGCATGCATCGAGGAGTGTCGTCAAGGACAGTGGCATTCACATGATTCCTGCTGGAGAGAGCTCCACTCATGCAGGCGCCGTCTGGCGAATCTTTGAAAAGTCGGTGGAGGTGGGGCTGTGGCGGTGAGAAYATCTTGCTGCGAAGCGCGTTGTGGTTTTTTGGTCGGAGAAATTGATGGGATGGCGAGGCAATGGGAGTATCCGTACGTGAGATCGGGTGTGTCTCGGTCTTTTTGGGTTGGGTAGCAATAATGCAAGGTGGTCGCACGGAGCTGTCGATACAGTCATGTCGAGATCAGAAGGGTGGTGCTCACTGCACGTAACCAGGTGCCGCTCTCCTCTCACTCCCCGCAGTCTCTGGTCTATTACGAGGCGTCAACGTCCCCGGTGCCTGTCGAATCGGAAGGTTCATCTCAGTCTCGACGTGGTTGGCACGGCTGGCACTGCTTGTCCGAGCTGGAAACGGCCTCGAGGAGGCAGCCGAACCATTCGACGATGCAGAGGATATCGGAATCTCGCCCGTAGTTGGCGTTCTGGAGTTCATGCTAGAGTGATGACTCGAACTATCATCACCGCGCAGCATGGCGAGCGTTGCAGGGGATAGTTGCGGCGCCAGATGACTCTTCCGACTGTGCCGCTCCATCATGGACACTGCCCATGCTTCGAGGTCGACCGGCGTGCGCTTTGCCGCCTGTAGGAACGGATCGTTGTCGTAAAGCTCCTGAGGGGTAGGCCTCTCGTCGGGAATCTTCATCATGCACTTGGCAATGACCTCCTCAAGAATGAGAGGGAATGCGTCGCTCTTGGGCAGCTTCGGTGCAGGTTCCAGAACAATCTGCTGAAGCAGGTCCAGAATACCCTGAGGGCCAGCCGCGTCTTCGTCATCTCCGTCCTCGCTCTCGATACTGAACGGGAACTTGCCAATCGCCAGCTCCATTAATGTCAGGCCCACGCTCCAGACATCACTTTTTACAGTGTAAGGACTGCCCTGGATCCGCTCCGGCGCCATGTAGGTACCGGTTCCCACAAATGTATCAGCAACACTATTCTCAAGCTCGGACGACACCCCGAAATCACACAGTTTGATCTGGCCCTTGCTGTTGACGAGGACGTTGGAGGGCTTGATGTCGCGATGCATGATGCGATGGGCGAGGTAGAGGTATTTGAGACCGCCCAAGATGGCTTCTGCAATCTTTCCCAGGACATCCACACGGACTGGGCCGAAGTTCTTCGATACACTGTCCAGGGAGCTAGAGGATGATCAGGTCAGTATGATAAGCCGCACCAATGGTGTGCGAGGAAACGCACCCGCAGTCCATGTACTCCATGCACATTGTTACATCATTTGACTCGTTCATAAAGGCCCCGTAGAAGGAGACAATGTATGGAGAGTTGCATTCGTGCATAATCTGCAACTCCCTCACAATCCGCTTGCGCACCTCTTTCTTCGCCTCGACGTGGATGATCTTCCTCGCCATGACAATGTTCCACCCTTTATGCCTGACCTTGCTGACTGTGCCGCCATTCCCTGAGCCTAGCTCCTTGACCACTTCGAGGTCCTCTGTTCTCCAATCAGGCCGGAACTCCACTCCGATCTCCAAGGTGTCATTCCTCCGGCCGTCATTGCCTAGAGATCCCGGAAGCTGCGCATCCTCATCGGAAGGTGCGACCGGCTTTGGAGGTGCGCTGAGAGCGAGTCCCTTGACATTCTTGCGCTTCATCGTCCGGGCTTTGAATGGGTCGTCGGCCATGCTGGGCGAGTGGTGTCCGGCGCGGACGGTGATCACGCAGGTGGTGGGTGTATGTGGCAAGAAGGCAGTACACAAAGCGGACGACGCCGATGATGGAATTGAGCTGATATGTGCGTCTGCGTCAGGAGTACACCGACGAAGGTACAGTAGTTTGTTTTAGGCTTTGATATGTCCGACTCACTGCGGCTCTCCCGTGGCGCCTCGACGTGGCCAATGATGTTCCGCAAGCAGCCAGGGCGGGCGGGTATGGCTCAGACAGCGGCAGCGGCCAAGGAGCGCAGTGGAGGGAATATTTTCAAGCGCGCGTTCCTGATGCAGGAGATTGGCTTGTCGTGCTGCAGGAAAGCCGGCGTTGGTTGACGTACGAGTGTGGGGTGCGAGATGAGTGCTTCGTAAGTACCTCGTAGCGGCAAACTAGACGCAGAACAGAGCGGAACTGATAGACAAGGACAAGACAAGGACAAGAAGAATCAACGTTGTGTTGACGAGACGAAACCGTTGAATGATATCTCGTCATGAGTCGGCGACGACGAGGATGGTGGTGGAGACCATGTTCCGCGACGCAAGCAGACAATAATAATAGGAGGCGTTCGATCTCTGCCGGCTGCTTTTGCAGGGGTGCTCGTTGTCGCGGACGATCGTCAGTGGAAGGGAAGACAAAGCGATAGGAAGTCGCTCGTGGATATTAATCATCATCATCGACGACGGAATGATCGATCGATCCCTTTGCATGCAACATCTCTCTCGCTCTGCGGGCATTGTTGTGTATTAATGGGACAATCATCATTAACATTAACACACATGATTGGAGGTGACACGGGGATCCATATCATCATGCGCCGACATCCATCTTGACATCCAACTGAGGGTTTCGCCGAGATTCCGATGCGGTTTAGCGCGTCCATTTGAACTTGAGCGTTCTTGAATCTCTACAATAATGAAGCCATTGCACTGCACACACTTCTCATCAACAACCACCTCTCCCTCACGCGCACTGCCCGTAACGCGTACATCCTAACCTCGTCGCCGCGGAGGAAAGTACATTGACGCGCTGAGTAACATTGCAAATCCACCACCACGCGACAATCGCCAAGTGGCCTACTCCAGACCTTGGACTCCCCTTCTGCCAGCTATAGCACGGCCCCGCCATGGCCGACTTCTTCGACACGACCGCGGATGTCGGCTCAGAGGAAGAGGAGGAGGAGGAATTTGACGAGGATGGCCAGCCAATTCCTTCCAARCGCAAGTCAAATCGCGCCGATCTAGACGATTCCAGTGAGGAAGAGGACGAGGACGATGATGAGGAAGCTGCGCGCAAGGTCCGTGAGGGCTTCATCATTGACGACGATGACGAGGATGAGGGCGAGGAAGCTCGCGCTGAGCGGCGACGCGRGAAAAAACGCCGGCGGGAGGAGGCACGCGAGGAGGAGGAGGCTCTGGATGATGATGATCTAGATCTGATTGGTATGGGAGATGGTGAAGAGCGCCAACCACCCCAGCAGAACAAGTTCAAGCGTCTAAAGCGTGGCCACCGCGAGGATCGCGCCGGAAGTGAGTCTCGAGGGGTCGAAAACATCTTTTCTGATGATGAGGACGGAGACGTCGGTGCGGGTCGGCGAGGCGCCTTCAACCAATACCCCGACGACGGCATGGACGACTTCATCGAGCAAGATGAGTTTCCGGATGAGGAAGTGGGMATGGACGAAGATTTGGGTGTTCGGGCGCCTCGTAGGGCAGGATACGATGAGCTCAAGAGTCTGCAAGAGTCCGGCCTGGGCGAGGCGGAACTGGAAGACATGAGGGCTGCATTCGGCGAGGGCGAGGAATTCAGCTGGGCACTGGAAGCCGAGAAGGAGCATATGGAGGAACAAGACGATCCGGATAAGCCCCTCGAGCTGAAGGATGTCTTCGAACCGGCCCAGCTGGAGGAACGCATGCTCACAGATAAGGACAACCTCATCCGCATGACTGATGTCCCCGAGAGGTTCCAAATAGCGCGAGGGAGCTACAAAGACCTCTCCGACTTTACAGACGAGCAAATGGCTGTACGATCGGCTGAGGAGGCCAAGTGGATCACCAGTATTTTGTTCCCGCGAAAGCGCATGGATGCCAGGCTACAAGGACCCTTTGAGGCCGCTGTCAAGCAGGTTCTACACTTTATGAATGTGGATGACTACGAGCCGGCTTTCATCTTTCAGAATCGCAAGGACTACCTCATCCATTCAGAACAGGCTCCTGCCGACGATCCGGACGCATCGATCAAGGCTGAGAAATTGCTCAACCAGACGGACCTTTGGGACGTCTTCGAGCAGGATCTCAAATTCCGTGCCTTTGCAGAGAAACGTGACGCCATTCTCAAGAATGTTGAATCAATCAAGGAGCTGGAATCCGAGTTCGACGATACCATATTTGACGATTTGGTGCCCAGCGYGGCTCAGGTGGACGAGCTACAGGATTTGCAGGATTACCTCACCTTTCAGTACTCGGTACAGCTCAAGGACATGAGCATTGGCGAAGCGCAGACGAACGGGCCTCAAAAGCGTGCGCTTGGAGGACGGTCGCACTGGGACAAACTCCGCGCAGGCCCCGCATATCACTTCGTGCGAGCATTTGGCATTACAGCAGATGCTATTGCTAGGAATGCTGAAGGCGCAAGCCGCCGGACATACACTGAGGACACGGATCAACGACCGGACGATCTCGCTGACTCCCTGGTGCGAGATCCTGACTACAAGACCGCGGAGGAGGTCATCAATGCGGCCAAGGCCATGTTTGCCGAGGAAATTGTCATGAGCCCGCGCATGCGGCGCCACATGCGCAAGATCTACTACCAAGAGCTCAGATTCGATTGCTACCGCACTGAAAAGGGCCTCAAGACGATCAACGAGGATCACGTTTACTACGAGTTCAAGTACCTGCGGAATCAGGAGGTGCGCAACTTTCTGGTCGACAAGCCGGAACTCTTCCTCCGCATGCTCAAGGCAGAGTCTGAAGGTCTTATTGAAGTCCGCGTGAAATTGCACAACGGACAGCGTGTCAAGGCCGATCTGCAGAAAGCCATCGAGTCCGATAACTTTTCCGAGGTCGCTGAGGCCTGGAACGCGATGCGGAAGGAGGTTCTTGACATGGCACTGGGCAAACTTCATCGCATCATTGCCAAGGGTGTCAAAGACAACCTGAAGAATGAGTGCGAGAACAAGATCGCCGGGTTTTGCCGGGACGCCTTCACCCAAAAACTTGACCAAGCGCCGTACAAACCAAAGGACATGGAGCTTGGCACTTGCGCGCGGGTCCTTGCTTTGTCGAATGGCGCAGGTAACCGCGGAGATGCGATATGCTGGGCTCATGTCGACGAAAATGGCCGAGTGCTTGAGAATGGCAACTTCACTGAGCTCCGCCTCGGCGGCGACATGGTTGCCGACAGTAAAGACGTGGCTCGGTTCATTGAGCTCGTGGAACGGAGAGCGCCAGATGTGGTCGCTGTCGCTGGCTGGTCGGTTGAGACTCGTCGTTTGTACAAGGATATCCAGGACATCATTGACAAGAAGGAGCTCCACGTGACAGCATACGAAGATGAAAACGGGCAAGAAGTCAACGATCTCCTGGACGTTGTCATTCCTCAAGACGAGGTTGCACGACTCTACTACACCACCGATCGGGCTGCGGCAGACCATCCAGGAGTACCACCTCTCACCAGATACTGCATTGCCCTCGCACACTACATGCAAAATCCTCTCAAGGAGTATGCGGCGCTCAAGAAGGACATCACCTCCATCACCTTTGATCCCAACCAACGACTATTGCCAGAGGACAAGCTCATGCGATATCTTGAGACCTCTCTAGTCGACATTGTAAATCTCGTTGGTGTGGATATCAACGAGGCATATCAAGATCCCGCCACGCAGAATCTCCTTCCTTATGTCTGCGGTCTTGGTCCACGAAAAGCAGCCCACTTGATCAAAGCTATCGGCGCTAACGGCGGCGAGGTAATCAACAGAGAAGATCTAGTGGGTGACATTGATCGTGGAAAGCGACAAGCCGTTGGGCCAAAGGTCTGGACAAATTGTGCGAGTTTTCTGTACATTTCCTGGGAGGATGAACCCGATGCCGATTTCCTCGACAATACGAGAATCCATCCAGAAGATTACGAGATCGCTCGCAAGATGGCTGCTGATGCCCTCGAGCTTGACGAAGAGGACATCAAAGCAGAGACCGACGAGCATGGTTTGAATGCCGTTGTTCGAAAGCTTGTCAAGGATGAGCAGCAAGACCGGGTCAACGACTTGGTTCTTGAGCAATACGCCGGGCAACTGGAGGCGCAATTCAGTCAAAAGAAACGAGCGACTCTCGAGACGATCCGCGCCGAGCTTCAGAATCCGTATGAAGAGCTACGACGCAATCTCTTTCCATTGACTACCGACGAGCTGTTCACGATGATGACTGGTGAGACACGCGATTCACTTCGAGACAAAATGATTGTGGCAGTCTCCGTCAAGCGCACATTCCCAGATCATATTGAAGTTAAACTTGAGTGTGGCATTGACGGTGGCATATCCGAGACCGAATTCCCTGAAGAGATGGTCCAGAATCACAGAGAGCCCAAGAGCGTGTGGTCCATGCATCAGACGATTCAAGCGAAGATTACTTTCATCGATCGCAAGAAGCTCACGGCGCAGTTGACCCTACGCGAAAACGAGATGCGAACTCCGTACCGTCGTGAGTTCGACCACGGTTTCGACGAATGGGACGATGAGCAGGAGGAGCGCGATAAGAAGGAAGCTCGCAAGGCCATTGAGCAAAAGGTCGGCCGCCAGCAGAGAGTCATCAAGCACCCTCTTTTCAAGCCTTTCAACTCTATCCAGGCAGTTGGTGCCTTGAGGAATCAAAGCCGCGGTGACTGTATCATCCGCCCCTCCTCCAAGGGACCAGATCATCTTGCTGTCACCTGGAAGATCGCCAACGATGTCTTCCAGCATATCGATGTGCTGGAACTAGACAAGGAAAACGAGTTTAGCGTTGGACGGACACTGAAAGTTGCTGGCAAATACACCTACAGCGATCTCGATGAGTTGATTGTACTTCACGTGCAGGCAATGTCGAAGAAGGTGGATGAAATGACCAACGACGAGCGCTTCCAGAGTGGCAATAAGCAGCAGGCCGGTAAGCTTACAAGACTTGACAATTTCCATGACAGTTGACTAACTGCGTTCACAGAACAATGGTTGACCACATACACGGCCGCCAACCCCAAGCGAGCCATGTATGCATTCTGCATCAATCCCGAATTTCCCGGCTACTTCTTCCTCTGCTTCAAGGCTGGGGAGAATGCGCCACATCAGAGTTGGTCCGTCAAGGTCATTCCACAAGGGTTTGAGTTGAAGGGCAGCAAGTATCCGGATATGAGAGCGCTGAAGAACGGGTTCAAGGTGCTATTCCAGAACCAGCCGGCGGCAAATGGTAGACGTTAGGATCGTTTGCCTGGTCAGTCTTTCGTGTCGAGGACGTAGGGTGGTGCAAAGCGAGTCTTTCGGAGGAGGAATCTAGAAGGTTGCTGAAGGAGCAATCATTACAAGGGATGGATTGCATTGTAGGATTAGAAGATATCACTGTTACCGTCCATCAGGGTAGGACAAAAGCTCATAGCGTTGGAGAATAGGGCGGGATATCAAAATGATGATTTGTTCACACGCAAGGAGAAATGCGGTCTCCGCCCTTTTTCAACCTCTCCGCCCTTTTCGCTCTCTGCAGGATTCTAGATAAAACGGAGAGGACGAGACCTGCACTTGTTCTGTACTTTAGCTAGCGTCGGGTCAGACCGAGCGAATGGCAAGCAAGACGATCCGTGATCACGCGAAGAGAGGTCTGTTTTCCGCCCTTCGTTGTCCGCCCTTTTTGCTCTCTCTGGAAAGTAGAACTCTCCAAGAAGACGAGAGGAGCAGCGATTCCATGTACTTTAACTAGCGACGGGTACCTCCGAGCCAATGAGAATGCTACACGCAAAGAGACGGGTGAAACTTCGCACGTCCGCACTCCGGAGGCTGTTCTCCGCCCTTTTCGCTCTCTCTTCAAAAGCAGAACTTTTTAGCAGCACAGAGGAAATGCTATCTTTCTGTACTTTAGCTAGCGCCGGATATATCCGAGCTAATGACAAGGTAGCTGGCATCCTTAAACCTAACGCCGTTACTTTCTATATATCTACGTCTTCTACTAGCGCCTTAATTGTGTCGCGGACATAATCGTAGCCCTAGAGGGGCTACGGGGTTATTAATTACGTAAAGATATAAGTGTAAAAGGGTGTGTTACTAGTAGTTAAGCATCTAGTAATCTAGTTAATCGAGATTTATTATCTACGTATATAAAACTACGAATTATTACGAACGGTCGAGCTTTTTATCCTTATTAATTATTACTAATCGATATTAGTTATTAACTCCCTTAATAGTAGCCTCTCTCTACTATTATAAGAACCTCCTTACTAATATATCTTTAAACGATAACCGCGGCGTAAACCATATAGCAAGTTCGATACTTACTACCGACCGTTACTTTATCTAATCTATTATAGGTCGATATCGACCTCGATTACTTTACTAAGAAGGCCGACGCTATTAATACTAATTCCGACGACTCTATCGGTAAGGAGTCTAAATGCCCTTTTAAGATAGTACGGATTCCTATTCTTAGCTTTATTACTTTACCGTTAACATTTTCTAGTCTATAGAGCGTATTCTAAAGTTCGATACGGGCGGTATCGTTCCTACTAATACCTCTAACTCGCGCGTTCGTATTCCTAATTAATTCTCTTATATTCTCTTCTAACCTATCTAGTTCTCCTCTAGTCCTACTAACGCTAATCCTCGTACGCCGGCTAATAACCGTATTAATAATCGTCTCCCCTCCGGTAGTAAGAATTCCCCTATCCTAATCTTTAGTAGTAGCCGTGCCTATAGCGATTCCGATACTCCTATTATTACCCGTTAGATAATTAGAGCTTAGCTAGCTATTACTATTAACGGTATTCCCCGTATCGTTCCTAACTAGCGCTAGATACATTATACTACTAGCTATAGTCGTCGCCTAGCTTAGAATAGAGGTAGATACGGTTCGTGTTACTAGCTCCTAAAGTATCCTACCTATACTAACTTAATTCTAAAGAACGTTAGTATCTATATCTACTTCCGTATCTTCGAGGAGAATAGCCGTCGCGTTTTCTAGTATCGTATTATAAACCCTTCCTACGGTTACGTCGCGCTTAATACCTCCGATCCTATTACTAAGGACTATACTAGTAGCGTCTTAGGCTCGAACGGTACTACCTCCTCCCTTCGTTAGGACCCGATATTCGCTTAGCCTATAATAGGTCTAGCTCCGGCTATCGCCCTTACCCTATCTAATAATACTACTACTCGTCGCGCCTATATAGACCGTTAGTAGACGGCTACTATAGGTAAGGCTAATTATACTCGTTAATATCTTCGAGCATAATTACTATATTTACTAGGAACATAAGATAATACTAGGAGAACTTAGGTTAACTAATATTCTATAAGGATATTCGAGATAAATTATATCTTATAGATAATCTTCTCTTAGGCCTAGTAAATATATATTAGTTGCTATTAGTTATACTCTCCTCGATATAGAGGTAAATACTAAATGCACGAAAATTATTTTATTAATATCGTTATTTTAGATCGTAACTTGTTTCCTTCCTATCTTTAACTCCCTCTTTACTAGTCGTCGATCTTAGTATCTATATATACTCGACGTCTTTATATAACGCTTCTACGGTCCTCTATACTTTATCGTTCCCTCGTTCTCGAAGTCGTTATCCGCTAATTTAGAGCGCCTTAACTAACTATATAAATTCGGCTAGAACCTAAACGGTAGGCACTTCTACTAGGCTATATAGATACTTAAGTCTACGTACCCGATCCTTCGGCGTAATACTATTACTTCTATTAACTATAGCTTTTATTAATATCTACGGCCCTTATTCCGGTAAGTATTTAGAGCTTATAGCTAGGGGAGTATCGTCGTAACGCTAGCTATCCTTACTCTGTTTTAACTTTTTCCCTTCTCTAACGGCTATCGCTTATATCTCTGCTTTTTGCTTACTACTCTTTTTCTTCTAGTAAAAGGTATATCTGTTCTATATATAGTTCGCCGTATAGTTAGCATATTAGCCGTTTCTACTAAGCGCATTATGTTTATATCGATAGCCCTTAAAGTAATTAGATCTATTTCGATATAGTTTATATTCTACGTTAATCCTATCTTCTTTCTATCTATAATTCTTAGCCTTATAATCTTCTATCGTTATTCCTAGGATATAGAAGAATACGCCCCTTCTAATACGTTCGTCTATACCGTTCTATGTTTTCTTTCTTAGTATATCGATATATCCCTATCGGAAATATAGGCTCTTTCTATTACCTATAAGAACACGATAAGCCTAAGCTATTTAAATATCTATTCCGTCTTTATTAATACTATTATCGGCTATATATACGTCGTAGATAGCTCTAGCAAAATCTATAGCGTAGTCGTAGCCCGCTATAGACCTAAAACGAATTCGATTAGCGGTAGATAGTCTCGCCGATATAGAGATCGCTAGAAGACGTAATTTATTCTAGTTAGTATCGCTCGAAGGTAATAATTCTAGAGACTCGCGTAATAAAGATAGAGATCTTAATTCGTTCGTAGAACTTCCTCCTAAGTAGCCTAGTATTCTATATATTCCTATCGCTAATATTAAAGAGTCTCTTTTAGCTATACTAGGGACTAGTTTCTCGGAAGGCATTAGATAGGTAGCTTAAAGGAAAGGTTAGCCGATTTTTTCTTAAAAAAGGTATAGGAGGGACGGCTTTATTTATACCCGCTAGCCTACGTCTCTAAACTTACGTATCGCGATAATAATACTAAGGAACCTTAACTTATATAGAACGAAACGACATATATTACTTATACTTATATTATTCTTCTCTTTTTACCTTCTTACTTACCTCTATAATACGTTACTATTCTAACCTCCGAAATAACTTACTTCTAGACTTTCCTCCCTTAAGTAGGTTAGTAGATAATAGTAGATAATATGTAGAATGCTTTTAGTATCCTAAAATCTACGGGAAAAACGTTATATGTTTAATTTAAATACTAAATCGATAAGTAGGTAGTTCGGTTCTCTAACATAAAAATCCTAATTAAAGCGTATAATCCTCTAATCTATTACCTTTTTATTCTACTAGTATAATTTCCGTACTATTAGAAGGCCTACCTAGATCTTCCCTTACCGCTATAGTAATCCTAGTTACGGCGATACCGTTCGGGTATCTCTACGGCCTAGTATTAATTATATATTTAACAGACATTAGATCGTTACTAAACTCGCTATCCTTAGAACTACTTAATATATTACTATCGTCGAACTTATTAGCATTATACGTAATACTAGTTACCTCTGTCTATTCGTTCACTAGTAGAACGTCCTACTCCGGGATATTATAAACTTTTTTACGAAGTTTATCCGGTATAAAGTATAGGATCCCTAAGTTTCGAATATTATAGATATCGTAGTAGAGTAGGCCGAGGCGCTACTATTCGGTTCCTTTCGCGTAATAAAGCTAAAGTCTTTCCTTATCGATAAGAATAGTTAAATTTCGAATAGATATTACCCTCGATAGTACGATATATAGTTGTCTATATATAAAGAGACTCTTACGAAGATCGAGCCCGACCGTACTTAACGTCTGTCCTTAGGCCTTATTTATCGTTATTATACAGGCTACCTTTACGGGGAATTATCGTCGGATAAGTATAAACCTATACGTATCTTTATCCTTAAGAAGAATCCTTAGTATAATATACGGTTCGGCTTTTAAATCGTCTAGCCGCTAGGCTTTAATATAGTAGTCGTATAGCTCTAGAATTACTATTCTAGTACCGTTACAAATCCCCTCTATAACTAACAGATTCCGCATTACTATAATTAGCATCCTAACCTTTAATCGAAGGATAGGCGGTTAAAGCTGCTCTAATTCTAAAACCGGCATAAGGGATTCGATTACCTAACCCTATTTTTCTTAAACGTCTTTATTAATATAAACCTCTAAGATATCGTCCTAGGCGTAGTATTCCCTTACGATGCTATTTCTATATATTTTTATATAGACATTATTAATTTCTTTAATAGTTTTGTTTTTAACTATTAAGATTATACGGCCGGCGAACGCTTTAGTATCTAAGTAACATACTTTTATAATATTCTACGGGAAGACCTCTCGAATAAGACGCTATAAGCTTAGTACTCTTTATACGGACGACGGGATCCGGATAGGATTATTAGTATATCTAGGGTAATATACGACACGTAGCGGCTAATTAGTATATACCTGTATATCCTCGTCTACCGTTCGTAGACGTATATTCTCTATAAGGTAAAGTTTTAAGACTACCGGCTAAAAGGGCG